ATAAGCCCCTCCAAATATAAGCCCCCCCGGGAGGTTGTACTTGGAAAATTGCCCTCAAATACAAAGTAAAACAAAGCAAAAGCGGTAAATTTACTTCCAACTATAAGGCTAGCGCAATCGATTTCGAAACGCAAATTTCCCTCCCTAGATAAGCCCCTCCAAAAATAAGCCCCTCAAAAAGGGCCTTTGAAAAATATAGGCCCCGGGGCTTATTTTCGGAATTTTACGGTATTCCCGGTATATTCGTTCTTTTGACAGTTTCCGTTATTGGTCTTTTTTAAATAAATGTGAAAGCTTTATTCCGCAAATTTGGCAGTTTCTGGAAAAGAAATAAGCGCCATGTTTCGAATGAGCGCCCTCTTGCGGTATACCATAACTAAATAAGCGTCCAGGGCCAGGTTGCATAAAACGTTCTTAAGATAAGAGGGCTCTTAACTCTTGTTCTGGAATAATAACCAATTGTTTTGAAATAATAGTTACGAGTTCCCTTAATCTTAAGATGTTTTTTTGCAACCCGACCCAGGGCGCTAAATCGAACCAATCCAGTAATCCAATTCGATTTTCTACACGTATGTTTGAGATGAAATGAAAATGGCTAAAGTAAGTTGAATTAAGAATGAGTGTCAAATATGGTACAGTTTACTGCTAATTTTCTAAACGTACTTATTTCCATCAAAGACTACCACCTGCCTCCCGACCGCGGCCGGCGAAAGTTAACCTCAAGTTAAAACTGACAAGCCACAAGGTTTTATCGTTTCAAGAAAAATGAACTGTTGTTAAAGATAGAAAAGCAAGTTTGTTGTGATATTGAACTTCCCACGTGAGATCCTCTCACATTATTTTTCCGACACTATGTCTTGGACGACCTCCGTTTGCCGGAAACGAAATAAGAATTGTCGTGAACCCTTTTCTTTCGCAGCGACAGACACAGGAATCATTCCCACTGGTTCCTCAGTATTCTCACTTTAAAAACCTGTCAATAATTGCATAGCTAATTCCTCGTCGTCAGCTAAAGAACTCTGAGGGCCCAAATCCAAAGCAACCTCCGAGATCCTGTCATTCTTTGCAAGGCGTTTCTTCTTCTTAGATCTAAGCAGCACAAAGAAAAATACCAGCTGCGAGTAAGAAAATCTGGCATGGAGGGTCGTTCAAATCGTTTTACGCACTTAAACTGCCAAATTCTTTTGCCTTTTCTTTCAGAGAACTGTCTACAAATTACGTGAAAATGACAATGTATTCTTTTCGCCCAGATTTTATGGTTTTTGAATAAATCTGG